AAAGTTTCTCTGTTTGGGGGTAACTCGCTGTGCTGCTGAGGTTGCCGGAAAAGGCGGTCCTCGACCATGTGTAACCAAGACAATCCACAGTCTAATATCTAGGAGACTGATTTGAGGATTCGGTCACAACTAAAATGTTAAACCTAAATAACCATGCACCATAAACTAGCAGTATTACACAGAAGATGAATTCCACTTAGTATATAATTTATTTCCAAGACTGGAACTTGTCACCAAGGCTGTGACTTCCAAACTTATCTTTCACAATGATTGTACAATATATATATAAGAATTAAACAATTAGCTATGGTCAATTATTACATAATGTGTTGACAAATATAAACAAGTTATTATCCAGATAAAGAAAGATAAATAATTAACAAGACTCTTTTAGCAATATCTCTAATTTAAGAAGGATAAAGGATTAAGCCCTAAGGTATTATTGTCACTTTGTATGTAATGTCCATTATCAATTAGATATATAAAAACTTATTGTCCAGGTAGACAATATAATATAAAACATAATTAATGATAAATTCTTTGAGTCTCAAACATAGCATTAAAAACCTAAACACAGCTGAAAGTCATTTTAACTCTGTCATAGAACTTTGAATCTGTGTTGCGTTTACATGCATTCATATGAAAGCTACCAGCTAGTTCCCCCAACCTAGCAAGATGAGTAACCAGGTCAGGAACGAGCAGAGTACTGGCCTTGGTTATACGTTTCTTAAATAGCAAGTAAGTTAAAGTTAATGTTAAAAATAAATCGAATAGCAAATAAGTTTAAGTTAGAGTTAAAATAGATAAAATAGAAAATAAGTTTAAGTTAAAGTTAAAATAGATAAAATAGAAAATAAGTTTAAGTTAAAGTTAAAATAGATTAAATAACGAGTAGGTAAAAAAAAAAAAAAAGATAGAAAGTATAAGTTAAAGTAAGTAAAAAAAAAATCTATGTAAGAAATAGGTTAAATTAAATATGGAGTCATTGATAAAGCTAAATTTGAAAAAAAATGTCTAAATTGAGATAAACGATTATATATGAATTATTATATTTAAGTACCTAAATATCTTTATTAAAAATGCTGATAAAAAAATAACATTTAATTTGGAAGACTTTAAATGGCAAATAAGATACTAAAATGGTGATGACTGATGTTAAAGAAAATAAAGAAATATATGATGATTAGTAAAATATTTATAGTTTACTTAATAGAAAATACAAAAAGTAACTTACAGTAACTATTATATTGAAATGTAATATATCTTAGAAGTTAACGTTCAGGCGGTTCAAATTCATTTAACTTCAAAGAGTAGAAAGAAATACCCTTGTTTATATGAGAATCGTAAAATAATGCCTTAAACTTTAACCTTCAAAAGATAAAAGTACATAAAAAAATAAGATCTGTAAGAAGAGGTTGGTTGTTTAAAGACTTAAAAACAGAAGAAAATGCCGAGGTTAGGTAACGTGTCCTAGAAGGAACAAATATAGAGAAATAAATAATTACTAGTAGTAATTTAAAGAGAAATGCACGTGTAAAAATAAATAAATGTTGGTTGATTGTTTAAGTTTGAATGGTTCTATAGCGATTACGATAAAGTGTTGAGTAAACATGTGTTTTAAGGTTCCCGTATGTAAGAATTTAATGTTAGTTTAATCATAAGAATTAATAGTAGACGTCCTAATTAATTAAGTGCTAAATATGTTGACCTAGCTAGTCATCATGTAAAACCTTGATTAAAGCAAACATAATGTATTCTTGCATAGGCAAATCTTGATCCATAAATGTAAAATCTTAACTGTAATCAAATGTTTTAGAAAACTATCCATTGTAAAACAAACAACAAATCCGACTAAAGTAGTATAATATAAAAATGAGGGTCTGATCTGCAGTAGTTCTGGAGTCGGAGCAAAGTACCCAAAAAAATATGAGCATACTCCAGAGAGAGGAAATGACTCGGGTATGTTTGGAGTTCGAGTAGACCTCCAAGAAAAGTGGGCGTACCACATATAAGAAATAGAGAAACGAAAATAATAATGATAATAAAAAAAAACACCAACGCTCTTACAATAATGAATAAAAGGATCTGTAAATGTAAAACATTTAAGATAAAATTGTTTTTTTAATAAAAAAAAAAAACCCAACAACAGAATAAGAATATCTAAAACGCAATAAGTCATCATGGTCATAACAACTTGTCTAACCGATATATCTAATATCAACGGATCATAAACCACTAAGTCATATAGCCAAATCCAGTTAAGAAAATATTAAAAAAAAAATCGTTTTTAAAATTAAAACAAGTTTAAGAAGAAATAAATTCGAATGTAAAATTGCGGAGCAATTTCTTCGAACAACAAGGATATATAATGATGGTAAATTGAGGTAAAATATTTAAAGAAATACATTTTAATATTTCATATAAAACTAAGTTAATCTTACATGTATTTGTAGAAAATAAATAATTCTTGTATAAAGCTTTTTGTGTAAAAAGATATAATTAGAAAGTCTCTAATGTTATGTAACTTTTGATATATAAGTATTAGATGTGAAATTCTTCCTATTTGACACTTAGCGATATAAATAAGGTTTGACAGCTTAAACTCTTAGAAGTATTTCCTTTAGCAAATATATTAATTCTTTTCTATTGTTCACATAGAATTCTATCTAACCAAAATAATCGGATTTCCCTAATGGTCATAAAAACAAGGTATTTAGTAATTAAAAATAGTAACCCCAAATTATGTAAAAATGTGAATAAGGTAAAAGAGATCTAACCAATAGAAACTGTTCTTATAAAAATAAGTATTCTAAAAGTCATTTTGATTGGTGAATAAAACAAGTCCAACCAGCACGTGTTCTTAGGGTTTAAAATAGGAAACCCTAAGGAATCAAACATTACTCTTATGGTTGGACTCGAAATAAACATATATAGACATCTTTGTTTTATTCACCAGGTTCGTAAACTTATAAATTTGTTTAATGAAAAATATAACGTAACCTTATTAATCTTTTAATGTAACTATTTTATAACAGAAATCTTTCTTTATTAACGTTACCATAAATATCATAATAAACTATTTTAATTAATTAATGAAGTATTTTGATAATTGTTAATTCAAGTTCATTTTAAGAATCAAACTCTTTTATTTCATATTAATGTATTTTGATTAATTTACTCTTATGGTTGGACTCGAAATAAACATATATAGACATCTTTGTTTTATTCACCAGGAGGCCTCGAAAGAACGCGAACGACAGTCCCCCAAATTGAATTAACAATTATCAAAATACTTCATTAATTAATTAAAATAGTTTATTATGATATTTATGGTAACGTTAATAAAGAAAGATTTCTGTTATAAAATAGTTACATTAAAAGATTAATAAGGTTACGTTATATTTTTCATTAAACAAATTTATAAGTTTACGAACCTGGTGAATAAAACAAAGATGTCTATATATGTTTATTTCGAGTCCAACCATAAGAGTAATGTTTGATTCCTTAGGGTTTCCTATTTTAAACCCTAAGAACACGTGCTGGTTGGACTTGTTTTATTCACCAATCAAAATGACTTTTAGAATACTTATTTTTATAAGAACAGTTTCTATTGGTTAGATCTCTTTTACCTTATTCACATTTTTACATAATTTGGGGTTACTATTTTTAATTACTAAATACCTTGTTTTTATGACCATTAGGGAAATCCGATTATTTTGGTTAGATAGAATTCTATGTGAACAATAGAAAAGAATTAATATATTTGCTAAAGGAAATACTTCTAAGAGTTTAAGCTGTCAAACCTTATTTATATCGCTAAGTGTCAAATAGGAAGAATTTCACATCTAATACTTATATATCAAAAGTTACATAACATTAGAGACTTTCTAATTATATCTTTTTACACAAAAAGCTTTATACAAGAATTATTTATTTTCTACAAATACATGTAAGATTAACTTAGTTTTATATGAAATATTAAAATGTATTTCTTTAAATATTTTACCTCAATTTACCATCATTATAGGAGTATCTGTTATGGTTTCGTAATTAACATCAACCATAAAGAATATATAAACAGTTGTATGTACAAATTATAAACAGTTGTATGTACAAATTATAAACAGTTTCCTTTATACACAGTGCTCCATTTCACATGCGATTCGATGTTTATCTTTTAATCCAGACAGGTGTTTGGAATAAGCTTCTTTTCATCGTAGTTTTAGCTGACGGCGTTAATCATCTTATCGACCAGTATAGTGTGGAGTGACCAACGCTTACTGTACTTTCAAAATTCGTTCACATTCATTTGTGATATCGCAGTATAGTGTGGTGAGACCCACGCTAACTACATATCCTCATACTTTTTCGATGGACTATAACTGTTTCTTGTTTTCACTAGTGAGTTTTTTTTTATATATTATGGATCTGGTCAAAGCTGTCAGGCGATTATCTTTTTAATTTAACTTTCTTTTTCTCTTTTTGTTGATTTAGCGTCCTAGCTCTGATGGAGTGTAGGGCAAAACACAGTTTTCGAGATATAAGTTCACAATTCTGCTCTACTTTCTTATTTAAGATTATTTCTGGCCGACGATGATTAATTTTCGTGCAGTCCAAAATTAATTGTAAACTGGTGTCTGTCGTCATGTTGTAAAACGATATTGTAGTTTCTCTTATCAAAAAGTCATCTAGTTGGAGGCGGAGAAATGTCATGATTTGACATGAGAGCGAAAGTAACAAGGGAAGCAATTTTATCGAACCGCATCCCGGACTGTTATGAGCGACATTCAACACCTTCTATCTTGTCCGCCATTGTTCATATTTGTTAAGAGAACACATCTCTGTTTTTAAACATTCAGTCATGTATGAAGGACACTTACACCCACATAAACGAAAATTAAAATCAATCGTAATTTATACTGAAATGTGTATGACTTGCGAGTATTTTTACTCTTTAGATTTTTTGTGAAAAGAGTCTCTGATTTCAAATATCGTTACAGGTAAAACAGGATATGCCATATTAGCTGCCAAGATTAGAAATATGGAGAACAGAAGAAACGAGCGAGTTACATGGACAAGATCATTGGATTTTATTATTTCTTGTGTAGGATTTGCTGTTGGCATGGGGAATATTTGGCGCTTTCCATATTTGTGTTACAGAAACGGCGGAGGTACGAATAAATATGAATGTTCATTTTCATATGTCGCTATTATGATTGTAATTACGAAAGTGAGAAAAAATAGAACAAAAACATAGAATTTAAGATACAAAATAATGATAAGATAAAATACTATATATATGCAGCAAAACGGAAATATCACAAGAACAACAAAACGTAATACTAAAAGAGCACGGCGAAAAGATCCACAGTCCTACTGAACGGTATAGGTTTGATAAGCTTTACTTTATGCATATTTCATTATCAAAACAAGAAAATGACCAAAGATAAAAACAAATCAAGTGTTTAACTTTCGATGTGATCTCAAATGTGTCTTCGAAATTATCTTAAGTGATATCTTAACTGATTCGAACGATAATTTATGATTGCATTGCCCATTGCATTGAAAACGTCACTTCTATTGATTGCCGAAAAATAATTTCAAACTATGTTCTTTAAACTTATTTGATTTTAGGAGCCTTTTTCATTCCATATATTATAATGTTGATTTGTGGCGGAATTCCAGTATTTATGTTGGAGGTGGGTCTAGGACAGTACATGAGTCAAGGTGGCTTGCATGCTTGGAATATTGCACCTTTATTCAAAGGTAAATTTAAAAAAAAAAGAGGCGAAAGATACCAAAGGATCATTCAAACTTATAAGTCGAAAATAAACTGACAACGCCATTGCTAAAAAACAATAAACAGCTGGGCCATGAGCGCATGATACGCCCGTCGTCTTGTGTGTGAATTTTTATGCAATAATCATAAATAGTTTCTGACATACGGCGCGACATGCGAAAACCCCCCTTTGTTTACAAAAAAAATCAATATCTCTAAAATGAGATTATGAATCAAAACCAAAAAGTATACAGATCTTTAGATTAATATAACTAAGAAGTGTGTAAAATTTTAAGCAATAATCATAAATCGTTTTTGAGATACGGCGCGACATGTGAAAAAGTCCTCCCTCTTTTTTTACAAAATACTCAGTAACTCAAAAATAAAATTTTGAATCATCACCAAAAAGTATACAGATCTTAAGATTAATATAACTAAGAAGTATGTAAAGTTTTAAGCAATAATCATAAATTGTTTTTGAGATACGACGCGACATGTGAAAAAACACACACACCTGTTTTAGTTACTAAGTCCCGTAACTCAAAAAGTTTTAATCTTATTTTCACAAAAAAGTATACAGATCGTTTGACTATCATAAGAAACAACTATGTTAAGTTTCATGAAATTTGGTTAAGTCGTTCTCAAGTTACGGTGCGACATGTTTACGCCGGACAGACGGACAGACGGACAGACGACATTTGTATACCATAATACGTCCCGTCAAAATTTTTACGGGCGTATAAAAAGACAAACAGAAAAACAACAGTACACAAAACACAACATAGAAAACTGAAGACTGAGCAACACGAATCCCACCAAAACTGGGGCTGATCTCCGGTGGCGGTGCTCCGGAAGGGTAAGCAGATCCTGCTCCACATGTGGCACCGTAGTGTTGTTCATGTTAGTACAAACTCGGTGATAAGTCTAATTCGGTAGGTCACATTCTTAGGAAAGGGGACGGTATTGTAGTTAGACAATTAGAACATATCCGTTATCATCTGTGAAACGGATATTCCATAACGGCCAACAAACTCGCATGCATATATGTTTTAGTGTATACATGTATAATATGCATATGTTTTAGAGTTATAACATTTCATCTGCCGATTGTTTTGTTTTTTTTTTTTGTGTCGGCAACATATTGGGGTTAGCCAAGAGACATTCACCAATCTGCTATGGCCTAATTAACAGACTTTTACTTTTCGGTTTATTATACACTGCAGGAAAGCAGTCACCAGTGGAGCAGAAACATCTAACGCTTCCTGAGCACCATTATAGTTCACCCGATTTTAACTGGATTTACATTTTTAATATTTAGTATTTAATGGGCTTTTGCTTGTCCCTATAGATTGTTTCCTCCTTTTTTGTTCTTTTTAATATTTATCTTTTTTTCAACGTATGGCTTTTGATTATCCTTTGGTATCCCTTTAAACAATCTTTTTATTTCTAAAGAGTTGCGTGTCGAAATAAATTTAAAACAGTTTTCTGTTCCCTTCATTTTCCGAGGGAACCCACTACCTAACCCCATAAGTTACAAGATATACCATTTTATGAATATTCTTTAGAACTTGCATTACTACATAAGACATACTTTATTTATTGTATAAACAACCAACTTAGTGATAATATTATGTTCAACTAAACAAAATAACATAGTTTGTTAACAAGGTTTTATACAGTGTATCAGATCTAATTCAAAACAACGTATTGACTTCTCTCAAACGATTGGAAGTTTCCTTTATGAGATAGGTTTAAAGCGTTTAATGACATGGCTTTACAGTTCTTAGAACAAGAAGATTGTGTTTCAAGAGTAGTAGGGTCAATAAAACCTAAAAATGTACGTAGCCATACATTAAAAGTTACCATTCATTATCTTATGTTTGCTCACACGACTAATGTGACAGTAGTCATAAACAAAAAAATAATAAAACAAATGTTAACTTGACAAATTATCATAGCAAAAGCACATGACTGGTTGATAGATTATTGGTGCTTAACGCCACTTTCAGCACACTTGTCTATAGCCAGTTTGTGTTGATGGAGGAAGCCGGAGTACGAGGAGAGAACCATGGACCTTCGACAAACAAACCATGACGAAATTAGTACAATACTTTTCTAAAATTTCTTGATTTTACTTGACAATGTTTTTACCACCTTTTGAGTATATATATATATTGGATTAGCAAAGTTATAATGTTAGAAAATACAAAAATGGTCTTTGCATGAAATATGCGTATATTTCAGTAAAATATTATAAATTATGATGCATACATATAACATTGTGAATATTGTTTGATATATTCATTTTTATAGATTTTATGCATATATTATTCAAGCAAAATTTGAAAACGTTCTTGTACATGAGGGTCTGGATGGAGGGTCCCTTATTTCTGTATTCTTTAATATTTTTGTCATTTTTCTCTATTCTTTATAATTTTTGCCCCTAATTCTTTAATCTTTATATTTTAACACCCCGTTATTCTCTATTCCGTATTCTTTATTCTTTATTTTTTGCCCTATTTTTCTCTATTCTTTATTCATTGTGCCATTTATTCCGCACATGTTGCCCCGATTATTCTCTTTTCTGTAAACACCATCCAGACCCTCATACACAATTTATCTTAATCTTAAATTGATATTGAATCGACTAGCTACTAATATATATAAACATTAGACATTAGACATTATTTTATTTACCAATTATGGGCTACATAAGATATACCATAATTGTGTGAAATTACCACAACACCTGTCATTTAAGTATCATGACAGAATATTAATCATTGAAAAAATGTGACATGGTAGAATGACACACACTTTGGATTTGGACTACTTTATATTTTATTAGTACACACTAATTGTTATTATCATTTTCGTTTAAATTGTATACATCTTTTGTTTTAGATAATTAGATCATATGTTATATTCTATATATCCTATTTGGTCTAAAAAAAAAAATTTTTTTTGTAGGTATAGGTATCGCCATGACAGTAATACTGTTTTTGATGAACATTTATTACATCTTTATTATGGCATGGGCCGTTTTTTATTTCATAATGAGTTTGACAACAACATTACCATGGTCACACTGTAAAAACTCATGGAATACTGAGAGGTAAGTTAATCTTCCAACCAGAATTACATATTCTACACTCGGAGGGGGGGGGGGGACTTCCTTCATACAAGGCCAGTGATAGGACGTACCACTGGAATAGGTCACATTTTCAAGCTTGCCAATATGCGAATAGGTGGGAATAAAATGCTTCGCTGGGCGCAGCTCGATACGACCGCAGAGGTCGAACCCTGAACAGTTGGGGCAAGTATGGACACAATATTCAAGCTTGATACAGCTCTGAATTTGGATTGTGATTAAATATTTGACACAGCATAGGTTTCTGACACAGAAAGAATGTGGTCTAAGAACTTCAATTTTTTTAATTTACCTATCATGGTCCAATGTCCAAAATCAAAATACATGGTTAGATTCAGCATATCAAAGAACCCCATATATTCAATTTTTGTTGAAATCAAACAAAGTTTAATTTTGGACCCCAACTTGGACAAACTTGAAAACTGGTCCCATAATCAAAAATCTAAACACATGTTTAGATTCAGCATATCAAAGAACCCCAATAATTCAATTTTTGATGAAATCAAACAAAGTTTAATTTTGGACCCTTTTGACCACAATATGAACCAATTTGATAGCAGGCCTACAAAATAAAAAATCTAAATACATGGTAAGATTCAGCATATCAAAGAACCCCATATATTCAATTTTTGTTGAAATCAAACAAAGTTTTATTTTGGACCCCAATTTGGACCAACTTGAAAACTGGGCCAAAAATCTAAAATCTAAATACATGTTTAGATTCAGCATATCAAAGAACCCCATATATTCAATTTTTGTTGAAATCAAACAAAGTTTAATTTTGGACCCCAACTTGGACCAACTTGAAAACTGGTCCCATAATCAAAAATCTAAACACATGTTTAGATTCAGCATATCAAAGAACCCCAAAAATTCAATTTTTGTTAAAATCAAACTAAGTTTAATTTTGGACCCTTTGGACCTTAATGTAGACCAATTTAAAAAACGGGACCCAAAATTAAAAATCTAAATACACGGTTAGATTTGGCATATCAAAGAACCCCAATAATTAAATTTTTGATGAAATCAAACAAAGTTTAATTTTGGACCCTTTTGACTTCAATATGAACCAATTTGATAGCGGGCCCACAAATAAAAAATCTAAATACATGGTAAGATTCAGCATATCAAAGAACCCCATATATTCAATTTTTGTTGAAATCAAACAAAGTTTTATTTTGGACCCCAATTTGGACCAACTTGAAAACGGGGCCAAAAATCTAAAATCTAAATACATGTTTAGATTCAGCATATCAAAGAACCCCATATATTCAATTTTTGTTGAAATCAAACAAAGTTTAATTTTGGACCCCAACTTGGACCAACTTGAAAACTGGGCCCATAATCAAAATTCTAAACACATGTTTAGATTCAGCATATCAAAGAACCCCAAGAATTCAATTTTTGTTAAAATCAAACTAAGTTTAATTTTGGACCCTTTGGACCTTAATGTAGACCAATTTAAAAACGGGACCCAAAATTAAAAATCTAAATACACGGTTAGATTTGGCATATCAAAGAACCCCAATAATTCAATTTTTGATGAAATCAAACAAAGTTTAATTTTGGACCCTTTTGACCTCAATATGAACCAATTTGATAGCGGGTCCACAAATAAAAAATCTAAATACATGGTTAGATTCAGCATATCAAAAAAACCCCAAGAATTCGATTATTGATGAAATCAAACAAAGTTTAATTTTGGACCCTTTTGACCTCAATGTGGACAAAGTTGATAACGGGGCCCAAAAATCAAAAATCTAAATACATGGTTGGATTCAGCATATCAAAGAACCCCATATATTCAATTTTTGTTGAAATCAAACAAAGTTTAATTTTGGACCCCAATTTGGACCAACTTGAAAACTTGGCCAAAAATCTAAAATCTAAATACATGTTTAGATTCAGCATATCAAAGAACCCCAATAATTCAATTTTTGATGAAATCAAACAAAGTTTAATTTTGGACCCTTTTGACCACAATATGAACCAATTTGATAGCAGGCCTACAAAATAAAAAATCTAAATACATGGTAAGATTCAGCATATCAAAGAACCCCATATATTCAATTTTTGTTGAAATCAAACAAAGTTTTATTTTGGACCCCAATTTGGACCAACTTGAAAACTGGGCCAAAAATCTAAAATCTAAATACATGTTTAGATTCAGCATACCAAAGAACCCTAAAAATTCAATTTTTGTTAAAATCAAACTAAGTTTAATTTTGGACCCTTTTGACCTTAATGTAGACCAATTTGAAAACGGAACCAAAAATTAAGAATCTAAATACACGGTTAGATTCGGCATATCAAAGAACCCCAATAATTCAATTTTTGATGAAATCAAACAAAGTTAAATTTTGGACCCTTTGGACCTCAATGTGGACCAATTTAAAAACGGGGCCCAAAATCCAAAAACTTAATACACGGTTAGATTCAGCATATTAAAGAACCCCAAGAATTCAAGAATAAAACCCCATTGAAATTGATCAAGAAATAAGCAATTTATACGAAGTATCTTCTTTTGCACAATACTGTGCAATTGAATATTTCTTGCGATTGTGCAATACTGTACAATTGACAATTTCTTGCTATTGCGCAATATTGTGCTATTGGATATTTCTTGCTATTGCGCAATACTGTGCAATTGAAGATTTCTTGCTATTGCGCAATACTGTGCAATTGAAGATTTCTTGCAATTGTGCAATACGGTGCAATTGAAAATTTCTTGCTATTGCACAATACTTATTATATAATAATTTACACATCTTGTTTGGTGTGTATCTCCTACCATATCATTATTATTTGCTTTTAAATATTAATCAGAAATAACCAACTTAAAATGGAAAATTTTAAAAGAAAAAAAAAAATCCCCCCCCCCAAATTTTTTGAACCCCCTTAAGATTCATCACCCCCAAACTCAATCCCAGCCTTCCCTTTGTGGTATGGTACCTTGCAGTACAATTTCAGAGAGATCCATACACTTGAACACAAGTTATTGTCTGGAAACTAGAAAAATGCTTATTTTTGGCCCCTTTTTGGCCCCAAATTCCTAAACGTTTCAGGCAATTACCCCCAAACTCAATTCCAGCTTTCCCTTTGTGATATGGAACCTTGTAGTACAATTTCAGAAATATCCAAACACTTACACACAAGTTATTGTCATGAAACTAGAAAAATGCTTGTTTTTTGCCCCTTTTTTGGCCCCTAATTCCTAAAATTTTGAGGCAATTACCCCCAAAATCAATTACAGCCTTCCCTTTGTGATATGGAACCTTGTGGTACAATGTCAGAGAGATCCATACACTTACACACAAGTTATTGTCTGGAAGTTACAAAAATGCTTATTTTTGGCCCCTTTTTGGCCCCTAATTCCTTAACTGTTGGTACCATAACCCCCAAAATCAATCCCAACCTTCCTTTCGTGGTATCGAACCTTATGGTAAAATTTCATGGAGATCCATTCACTTAAACAAAAGTTAGAGTGCGAAAACCAATGTGTCTTCGGACGACGCCGGACGACGCCAGACGACGACGACGACGACGACGACGCCAACGTCATACCAATATACGACCAAAAAATTCTCAATTTTTGCGGTCGTATAAAAACTATAAAAAAATATATGATAAGGTCAATAAAGTTTCCATTACTTGTTATGTGAAAAGCCTTGTAATTTTTTCACAGCCGAAAGTCTCGCCGTAAGTAAACATTAAAACACGTCTTCTTTGACTGTCCATGACGTTAAAGCACTTAATCCCTGTGATGTGTTTTGGTTGATTTTAGTCTCTGATGCATGATTTTTTATTATTAATTATTTTTTTGCTTTTAACTAGCTTTCAGTAACTGCGAGTACTCTCAAATCGTACTTTCGTGTTAATTTGACCTGTTGATACAATTTGTAATGTATTTTTGTTATTTATTGTTTTCTTATTCAGTGTTATATCTAGTCTCACTATTTCTAATATATACCACCTTTGATAATTGTTTAGTATGACGATAAATTTTCACTTTTGTTCTCGTACTAGGAACGACAAAATTATTTATTTTGTAAAAATTATTTCCGTACTCCATGTATAATTTACAACAAGGTTATGGTTGTCTTTCTCATATTGTTTTACATCTAACCCACTTGTATTATTATTTTGTATTTAGATTGTGTCATAGATCAAATTTATTCGTTCAGTGTATGTTCAATTGTTTTTGCTAATATGTCTTTTGATTGAGTTAAGCCATTTCAATTGATATTTTATAGTGTCTTTCTATGTTGTGATGCTACATTATAGTTTCAGGCAGGGTGAAGGTTGGCGCCTATTAAAACGTTAAAACCCGCTGCATTTGTTTGCACCTGTCCTAAGTCAGGAACCTGATGTTCAGTGGTTGTCGTTTGTTGATGTGGTTAATAAGTGCTTATCGTTTCTCGTTTTTTATATAGATTAGACCGTTGGTTTTCCTGTTTGAATGGTTTTACACTAGTCATTTTTGGGGCCCTTTATAGCTTACTGTTCGGTGTGAGCCAAGGCTCCGTGTTGAAGGCCGTACTTTGACCTATAATCTCATTTATATGAAAAGGGTGGGGTAACAGAACCCTAGCGATCCCCTATCAATTAAGTATTGAAGTGCCCCTCCCCCTTTCCCCCGAGAGTCTACAACAGTCATCCCCGTAAAAAGACTCAACCCTGTTTGATTTTCTGCTAGTATTATTGACGTAATATAATACAATTATAGACACTTATTATATAAATAACACATTTTGTTCATAATAAAAGTAAGATAAAATGACAGTAGTATGACTAATTTGGTCTCCTGAATTTTCATTTTATTTACAGCGGGTCCTTTTCAAATGTACCCTGATATTATGATAGTAAATCTGTCACGGTAGTCAAATAAGTAAGATTGAATTTCATAAATGAATTAAGCATACAAACACACGCACACTTAAAGTAGAATTATATATAACTATGTAAAATGTATTCATGAATGAATACTTAATAAGTTAACTAGAATAATTATGATACATCCCAAGCATATGGCCATGCTTTACGTACTACTTTATCGACACATCATCAAAGATAAGTCCACGTGACAGATGAGTTTTTTTGCTGAGACTTGCAATATGTGTTATGCTTATTTGAAAAGAATCTGAACATTATCTACTATATACATTGTACACAGATAATTTCAGCAGCAGATATATCAATCACGTGGTAGTAATGTTAACGTAAGCAGCAGATACACCAACCACGTGGTGGTTATATTAACGTTAATCGGTCGTCCCACTGTCTGTATCACTCTGCTCAGCTCTTAATAAAATTGCATATCACGGCTTTGTGACGTCAAATACGTTGACCCGGCCTTAATAACTTTGACCCGGAAATATCAGCGACGTCATAATGTATGAACCGACGATGATAAGTTTGACCCGAACTTATCAAGTCATCTTCTGGTTTGCTGGTGAAACAAAGAAAACACTTCCAAAAGACGCAAATACAGCCCGATAAATCAATTATCTGGTTGACTGCATATTTATATTGTAAAATATCAGCTGCTCGACACAATATGAAGCCATTTTGAACTCGTTCTCTGCGCTCACTCGACAAAAATCTTCATATTGTGACTCGCAGCTGATATTTTACAATATCTGAATGCAGACAACCTGATAATCGGTACTTATTAACCTGTTTAGTGCATTATGTACGAAACTGCCCCTTTGATAATAAAAGCAAAACTGGTCCATTACAGTCAAACAGGGCATTGGTGCAGGACCATTACGAATAAACAGGGCCATTATGAAAAAACAGGGCCATTATAAAATAAACAGGGCCATTATGAAAAAAACAGGGCCATGATTATGAATAATCAGGGCTATTACGGATTTTCAGTTATTACCAATTCAAATACATTTATGGGTTTCAACAAATTGAAAGTTCCAAAGAATTATGACTTGTCTTATTTGACTCAGTTGTCAAGTTAATAATTACATAATACATTCCATTATGTGTATCAATTTATTTAATTTTGAGTTTTAAAATCCAGAATGAAATCTTGTATTTTGTATGCAATAAATTGCTTTGAATAGGACACAATAAAACTATATTTACGTTTACATGTTATTCCATCACATCACTTTTAAAGTTTCTTTTTAATATTGCATTTGGTATAATTATATATGTATATAAACAAGTCTAAATTGAAAACAACGTTCAAACCTATGATTGCGTTGGATAAAAACCGCAATTTTTATGCGTGTGCTTGCAAAACAAATTTCTTGATAGAGGGGTCTAAATACAGCACAAACAACATTTTCCAAAAGACCAAAAAAAGTGAAAAAGTATATTTTAACAAAACGCATTTGACTAACAGGTCGAACAACAGATGTTCTTAAACCCTGCTGACTGCCATTGGCGATTGCCAAATAAACGGATCACAAGATGTTACAAAATGGATCTTTTAAAATTTATAAATTTATAAATATATATACAATTGCTCCACACAAAAAAACTGATTTGTCATATTACACATTGACAGTTTGTTTAATAAAAGTTTTTTAAGAAATGGGTGTCAGATTGACCCTGTTATTTGTCCTCGGTCAATAATAATGGCATCGGAGGTTGTAATGTCCCTCGGCGTTGCCACGTGCCATTACAGGCATCATCGACCATTATAACAGACCTTGGACATAGAACAGGGCCATTATGAAAACACATTAATTGATACTATATAATGCAGCAGATATACCAACCACGTGGTAGTAAATATTAACGTATGCAGCAAATATACCAACCACGTGGTAGTAATATTAACGTAAGCAGTAAGCAGCAGATATACCAACCACGTGGTAGTAAGTAATATCAACGCCGTATGCAGCAGGTGTACCAACCACACGGTAGTAGTATCAACGTATGCAGCATATTATACCAACCATGTGCTAGTAATATTAACGTATGCAGCATATTATACCAACCACGTGGTAGCAATATTAACCTATGCAGCAGATATACCAACCACGGGGTGGTAATATCAACGTATGCAGCAGATAAACCAAAACGGAAATTAAAAAAATACCGAACTCCAAGGAAAATTCAGAACGGAAATTCCCTTATCAAGTGGCAAAATGAACAGCTCAAACACATTAAACGAATGGAAAACAACTGTCATATTCCTGATTTGGTACAGGCATTTCCTTATGTAGAAAATGGTGGATTAAACCTGGTTTTATAGCCAGCTAAACATCTCACTTATATGACAGTCATATAGCATTTCATTATATTGACAACAATGTGTGTGCAAAATAAACAGACATAATAGATAAAAATGTCAAAAATTGGGGTACAGCAGTCAACAGTGTGTTGTAATCTTAATCTCTATAAAACAAATAACTATTTAAACAAAGAAAAACAAAATGGCATATCCACGTGGTAGTCATATTAACGCATGCTACCGAGTTAAGTGCGCATGACACGTGTTTGTGGAAGATCAAAATTATAAGTTTTATTTGCCTGACCGAGTGGCAACGTTTGGTAGCAATAATTATTTGATTTTTATGCTGAAAGTTCACTCAACTCCTGTAAGTATACGCATATATTGACTACTGCGAATCTGAAAAAAAAATAAATATCTACCTTAAACTTCTGCTCAGACAGTTGAATAAATAAATGGAGTTCGAGAGGTGACTATTGATAATTGCTGTGCTGATAATTATATGAAAGAGTGCAAAATGATGACATAAAGCCGCTGTCCTTATTGGCGATAGAGCGTTAAACTGTAAAACCGTTATTTTTCTACTGTTTAATCTAGGTGTTATTCTGGTGAGCAGTGGAATTTTAGCTGTCCTGGAAATAACTGTACAGTAAATGTGACAACCGTTGATTCAACTGTAGAATTTTGGGAGTAAGCAGTGTTCTTTCTAATTTAGCCATAGAGTTTTATTTTGAGTTCTTGGGGTTAAGTTTATAATAGGTAGACAACTAAAGTTTGTACAATGCTTAGAATACATAATTATTTTTAAAAGCGAAAGAAAAATGGAATTGAATTTCAAATGCTTAACTTTACCATATATATTGGTATTCGGAGTAATTCAACAGATATAGCATGTTCAGGAAGGGTATTTGCGAAAAATACCAGTCTGGTTTAGAAATTTCCTTCTCTTGACTTGTATTTTTCGCAGATACTCGTCCTAAACAATTCAATTCAATGTTTTATTAAAGCATATATTATATTTTTCATAATTCGATTCAGAGGTTCATTCATTAGTTTATAATTAATATTTATGATAAGTTATTGTTTATGTAGCGTTCAATTATCAACTGCATCAGCAACCGTACGGCCTCCCAACAAAGAGAAAAACTCATACTGTATAGTCGGCTATAAAGGGCCCCGACATGAAAAATATGAAACAATTCAATTGAGAAAACTAACGGCCTAATTTATAACGAAACAATTTACGAAAAACAAGTATGACAGACATAAACCAACGACAACCACTGAACTACAGGCTCCTGAGTTTGGAAAGGCACATACAGAATGTGGTGGGTTAAACATGTTTGTAACGGTTTTAATACTGTGCCTGGGCTGTTAAATCTGTTCTTTACGGTCTCCTGTTTTGCTGAAATAATTTTTTTATTACTAGTATTCTTTTTATAATAAGATACACCGTCGACACATTGTTTCTCCGGGGATTTCGATGTTCTAATAAGGTTTTCCTTGACCGAGGGTTGTCCACTGAAACAAGGGTTCTTCATCGGATTTACGAATTAAATGTGTAGACTTATTAGATAATGAACGAGTGATTATTTTAATAGATAGAAAAAAAACTATGGGGTTTTATGTTTCTATGTGAATTAACTAATCACAACCCCTATTGACTGGGTAAAATTTGTTCTTATTGAATTGATCCCGATCTGGGTGTATACTAATACTTTATTAGTCATGTGGGTCGATATTGCTTTCATTTTAGGAGACGTGTTCTACAGATAACAGATGGCATCGACAAACCAGGCGGATTGGTTTGGGAAACAGTCCTCTGTTTATTATTTGTTTGGATTATGGTGTATTTTTGTGTTTGGAGAGGAATAAAGTGGTCGGGCAAGGTGATCAAATTCTTACCACTTATACATCAGGGGAAGATAACTCCTGTTACCCTGGCATATATCGTTTTTTTTTTTTTATTTATTACTATATACTAGTGTAAAATTTCTTTAATCGGGATTTCCCCCACATTCTCTTTTATAGCTTTATCTACACAAATTCATTTTTGTCGAGTCTGCGACATTTATGTCGCGAAAGCGGGACATAGCGATCAGGCCCAGATTCTGTCGTCGACAGCGTCAACATTTAGGTTCAGTTTATGGTTAAAAAAATTTTAGACATCAATAACTTTGTCAAACTTTCGTGGAATTTTAGGAAATATAGACAGAAGCTTGTTCATGACCAAAAGACATTATCCATGCAGAGCAAAATTTTGGAAATACTTTTTTCTTATTTTTCTGTATTTAACTAATAAATAGGCTGAAGTTAAAGTTTTTCAGTTATCAATAACTTTGTCAAACCTTCATGGAAATTTAGGAAATTTGGACAAAAGCTTGACTTTTAATATTTGTCATATATTTTTACGAAGGCAGTTTCGTTTCGTTTTTTTTTTTTTCATGATCCACAAAGATATAATTTCACATATTTCAGGTTGTTTAATAATAATTTCACATATTTCAGGTTGTTTATTTCACAGCTATATTTCCTTACTTGATACTGACAATATTGTTAATTAGGGCAGTAACATTAGATGGTGCTATCTATGGGATTAAATATTATCTAAACCCAGACTTCAGTCGACTTTCTGACCCGCAGGTAAATAACATAGTAGTGAATGGAAAAAAAATATCCCAAATTGTTTTATTTTTATTTTTTATCAGCTCTGTAATTGATAGTTTTAAATACTCAAATGTAAAAAAAAAAGGAAAGAAAAATCATTTCATATGTCTAATTTTGTAACAAATGATTTATCTCGACATTATAATCTTCGATTCAAAACATTTCTTGACACCTATGATAGAATCACATTGCTAATCGTGATTTTGGAAAGACAATCTATTTCTGTACCTCTCGTCAATTTTTAATTGCATCTTTATGATTTTTTTAAGAATGATATACTAATATTATGTATCATTTTCTGATTTTGTTATTTCACGAAAATAACACTTTATAAAATGGTTGCGTCCGAAGCACTTTTCTGAATTTACCTTCATTAGGAAGCTCAGAGCAAAGAATGCATATTAAGTACTTCATGTCTAGCTACAACAGTTAACTCTCGTTTGAATAAGAATAAAAAAAATCTTCTGACTGGAATGTATCTTCTGAATACGTTTTGTATTCTTTGCGATAGAATGACTGTTTAAAAAAATGTAATCTTAATTGTAAAGTAAGCAACATCAATTTAGCTCAAACAACATCAGAAATTGAACTTCCTCGTCATTAACCTTATCACACGTGATTGAAACTGTCGAAAGCGCGACTCGGAATACGTTTCGATAATATGTTCCGAAAGTCGGAAGATTCTGACTGAAGCTTAGATGATACTATTTTCGATATTAGATAGTAAAATTTTATGCAGAGTGCTTATAATTGATACTTACTCAAAAGTAAGATAAATAATCAAAATAAAACCATAAACAAAAGTGAGAATTGATGTTTAATTTTAATCAAATCTGATACTATGGTAACAGGTTTGGATTGATGGCGGGACACAGATCTTCTTCTCCTATGCCATTGCACTAGGTTGCATGATCACCCTTGGCAGCTACAACAAGTTCCATACTAATTTTTACAGGTATATATGAAAATGAAATGGTTAAAACTTAAACTAATTGTGTGTTATACAATTCATCAAGTTGTAGTTTTTTACTAGTTAAAACTGTACAGCTAATACATACTGACCGTGACGGTTAACTTTAAAGGAGCATTAGCTACGAGATATAAAAATAATAAAATATGATTTTAATTTGGTTCAATCATTAATAAAAGTGAAAAAGTGAAATGATAATTCGCTTTTAGCAGCCAATTTGGTTCGATTTGTCAAAATAAGCTAAGAAACATAGCTGATGAATTATTCATTTGCAAGTGAAAAATTCGACCTCATTGAATCCGTAATGTGACCTTCAATTAAACCCCTTAGCTGGAGATGGGTTACGCATGTATTCGTCTATTAAAAGGAAAAGAATATCAACATTGAAAGTGAAACATGGATGCACCCTTTGGTTGACTGATACGATCCACAAACATCATTCTCGTACAGGTAAAAACGATGATAAACATACTTTTTAATCTACGATATGAAATCAAACGGACCTAGAAAAATCCAATTGCACGTGGTCGCTGTCTATTTATATTTATATGTATGTTTATATCGTTTATGATGAACCTAAACACTTACGCACATTTTGTAATTTATACCGTTATGCATGGATTTACAAAAAAAAGACAGTATTCATATGTTCAATCAAAAATCATAATTAGAAGTAAACCGACAACAAAATTGCAAAATAACGAAAAGACTAACAAAAGTCTGAAAAACACAAATAAATACTGAGCAACACAAACCCCACCAAAACTCGGGCTGATCTGTGGTCCTCATGAAGTTTAGCAGATCCTGCTCCACATGTAGCACCATTACACGGTTGCGCAACTTAGTATTCATAAGCAAAGTAATAGCTCTTGATCGCATTCAGCGAATATCACCAAAATATTTTTTTACAAAAATCATCGACTATATGAGAAAATAGAGCGTATAAACATAGTTTAAAAATTTATAAATGGCTTTTAAAATTTTAAGATCAAGGTGCCCTTAGGAAAAATGTAACTGAAGTCACCCATCAAAACTAATAGTATGTGTAAAGATACAAATCTGTTTTAATGTTCAAATTATGAATTTTGCCACTCATACACTTTATTGTAGATTGTTTGACAAGTTGTCATCCATGAAACAAATATTCTTTTGTAATGAAACAAATAGAATCCTGAATTTGTAAAGTTTGGATACATGAAAGATTTTAAACGAATACTTCTGAAATGTTTGATACTCAGTCAATACGAAGTTTAGTGTTGAGTCAAGCGTTAGTATAGAAAATAAATTAATCACCAGTCTCCTGCCAAAATACATAAATGGACTAAATGAAAAAAGGAAAGAATGTAAATTGCGGCAATAAAAAAAAACAAATCATAGGACTGAAAGTACCATGACAACATAGGCGGAGATACAACTGCATTATCCGTAAACAACTAAAGGTTGACCAACATGAAACCCAAACAAAAACAAAAATGAATAACCGTCCCCTATATGATCCGAAAGGGCAAGCAGTTCCTTCTTCATTAATTGCGTCCATTGCATTGCTCATGACAAGGAAACTCCATTGGTGAGTCGTATTTGTTGTTAGCTGATGTGTCACAAATGAAGAAAGAAGGAAGGGACTTGTAGCCAGGACAAAAGGAACACGTACATGGTCGAGTGTGACACAGATACCGTTCGATGTAAAGTCACCTTTGTCATATTTTTTGCTTCACAGGCACTTAGTCTTGTTTCTGAATTTATTTGACCTATATATATATATATATACTACTTTAAAGGTGTCTCTGAATTAATTTTACCTATAATATACGTAAAAGGTATACATGTAAGTTCCTGTAGGTTTCTATTTTAATTTCGTGAATGTTTAAGTCTGGTTTCTTTTTTTCTGAAGACAGTGTATGGTGATTGCATCAGTGAATAGTGGTACCAGTCTTTTTGGTGGGTTTGTTGTTTTCTCTGTGTTGGGTTTTATGGCTAAACAACAAAATGTAGATATATCAGTTGTAGTGAATGCAGGTTAGTCCAATAATATCACTTGACTCAAAAAATTAAAACAACGCTTTATAAACATGCGTCCGAAGCGCTTGTTAGGATTTAGCTTCATCAAAAATGCTCAAAGCCGAATATTTGAAAGCCAAGAATGTATAAAAACTGAAATAGTTGAAGAGCCAAGCTGTGAATGCAGGTTAGTTCAATAATATTATCACTGGAATAAAAAAAATTAAAACAACACTTAATAATGTCTATAATTCTATGATATTGTGTTAATGTGGCATGGGTTATTTTCATGATGAACAAAATGAAAAATATGATGGAATCACAGCAAATAAAAAATCAGCATTCCGTCACATAAACACTTACTGTAAATGTATCAATATGCAACCGGTAAAGCGGCCATTTCTATCCACGACAATTATTATCAGTAAATTGTTATTATTTTTTCTTAAACCTGATTAAACCTTTCAATTCTTCTTGCTCTTTAATTTGTCCTAGGAGTAAAATGTATGTAAATTGTACTTTTTCAATGATTTGTTGTTATGGTTCTACCTGAATAACAGTTGTTGTAATCAGTGATTTTATTACAGGTCCAGGACTTGCTTTTATAGCTTATCCAAAGGCTGTTACACAGATACCTGTATCGCCGTTATGGGCAGCTCTTTTCTTCTTGATGATTTTTCTGATTGGAATTGATAGTCAGGTGTTATGACGTATATTTTCATGAAATCTATCATTTACCGAAAGCTAATGTATTACAAAAGAGAGGATATTCAAACTCATAAGTCGAAACAAACTGACAATGTCATGACAAAAAACGAAAAACAACGAAAAGACAAACAACAGTACACAAAAAAACGAAAAACAACGAAAAGACAAACAACAGTACACAAAACACAGCATAGAAAACTAAAGACTAAGCAACACGAACCCCACCAAAAACCGGGGGGTCTAGATCTCAGCTGCTCCGGAAGGGTAATCAGATCCTGCTCCACATGTGGCACCGGTCGTTTTGCTAATGTAAGTAAAATGTTATTAAAACATTGCAAAACAATGGGTTTTATCCACTTTTAAGTATTTTCAACGAACTTTCCAAAATTCGGACTGGCAACAAACCAGACAATAATTTTAAGTAGTGTATAAGGGCAGACATATTATATTAAATGTTTATAATAAAGAAAAAAAGCGTTTATCCTTAATTATCATTTGTTTACAATATGCAATAGTTGTTTATTAATAATATAACAGTTAATTGTAGCCTTTGGTTGAGGTTAATACGAAGTTATATCGACTTAAAGAAGCAGATCGACCTCGGACTTCGTCCTCAGTCAATATGCTTCTCTTAGGTCGATATAACATTTCGACCTCATACAAAGGCTATAATTATATAATATTCGTCGCGCGAAAAATCACGAGTCACAGAGGTTAATATCAGACTTGGAACAGCTAACGTGTACCTATAAATAGTTTTTACCTAGGCAACGTCAATAACGTAGGCTTATAACGTCATGTACATTCTCATTTTTCTCCTTTTTTCGATGTTATTCTCTTTAATAAATCTTATTGAATATTTCAATTGATAAAAGTTTAGCAACTGCCAAAGTTAATAATATATTTAGTATAAAAGGAGCCGTTAAATATCTTGAGCAAATACTAGAAATTGGATAAAAAAAAGTCATATATAATAAAAGAATCGTTGAATGTTGTTATCAGTTGATACGATGATTTATCAATCCCATAGATAAGACATTCACCCTCGGCCGCTGGGGTGGATAAATCATTGTATCAACCTCATCAAAAGTCAATAATTAAAACATAACGGATTGTAATAACTACAATGCTTACTTTTTTATAAAAAAAAAAATAATTAGTTAAATGAAGAGACAGCTCTTAAAAAATAGAAATATGCAGAACAAATGTAGTTTGAGTGTTCCAAGACAGGAAAAAATGATTACAATGTACAAAATAAAAAAAAATAAATTGTACATGTGGTAATGTTTAAAATTCCTGTGGCGTATCTAAATCTTTTCACAATTAAACTATGGTGCCAGATGTATTGTTATTTTAATATAGTTTGTAGCTGTAGAAGGATTTCTTACAAATGTCATGGATTCCCTTCCAAAAAGTTTTAATACTACAAAGTCGAGAATGGTTATAGTAGCAGTGTATTGTTTTGTCAGTTTTCTGATTGGTCTATGTATGACATCAAGGGTAAGTTACATAGAACAGAACAATAGGGGGCACGGGATCGATATTTATGGACACCAATTTACCGAAAAAATATAAATCAATCCAAATTTGATGCGCGATATATGTTTATATATATTCATCAGCGTTAACATTTGGAAAAGCCAAACTACGTTGGTTGTGTAAAAACATCAGACTGACCAAAAAACGCAAACACAGTCAACAATTAATCTTATTATAAAAACTTTGAATTTATGTATTTTTACAATAAAATACCAGATAAATCATGGTAGCATTGTATCTGCGAAGTAAAACCCACCTGTCAGATTTATCCTCAATTCTGTATGAATTTACTCTCGGTACTTTTTTATTTTTTCACCATACCCAGAAATCAACGCCACTTTGCTTATTTGAATATTATACTAAAGAAATCGGATACGGGTCACGGAAATTATATTGAAATGATAGGGAATTTTGAAAAAAAAATTGTCTGTTTTAACTTTAATTTAAGTGATCGACAGGTTGCGGGGACAGAAAATAAATATACACAACAATACACCATTTAAACGAAACATAATGACTGTCGTTGCAAAAATCAAGGTTCCTGAGCTATTTTAAAAATCGAAGCGAGAGGCTTTTAACATTGCAGTATAAAATACAGGCTAAAATGGCTGAAACGTCAAATTTGCAAACTTCGTGTTGAAAATTGGCTAACAAGGTCATTACAAAAACAGGTTGCGGGGATGAAACTTGAAACTTGAATGTCCAAAGAATAAGCGTCCAAACCTTGTATGTGTAGTCGTTGAACTCTAGGTTCCCACGTAAAGTTAAAATGCCCCTATTTCAAGAAGAATAAACTCACGAAAACACGAAAAATTCACTAAATTCGCGTTTATTGTTTTGATTTTGACCGCCTGACAACTTTACGGAAATATCAGAGTGATTAAAAAAGGACTCTGTGACGGGCAACTTATAATATCCGTGTTTTAAAGATTTTAATGATATCAAGCCAGTCCAGTTCAAACTATTATCACGTGGTACAATTCTCATTTACATATTATGAATATTAATTAGCAAAAGTACTACTAATTTCTGGCTGTGCTGGTGCCACTTGGTAAGATTAAATGTGTAGAGCACACCAACATACTGCATAGGGAGATTTTACACGGCTGCACGAGTTCGAAAACTTACCTTTTTTCAATGATAATAATAAAACAAAACAAAAAACGTATAAAAATCTCAAACTAAGATTTATGACAGGGTTGACTCCTACAAATAACAAGGTGTAATTCAAACAAATAACAAGATATAATGCCAGCAAATAACGAGGTATGGTGTCATTGGAAAACAAGGTGTAATGATAAGTAATAACAAAGGATGATTCCAACAAATAAAGTGTAATGCCAACAAATAATACTATATGATTCCAACAAATAACAAGGTGTAATGCCAACAAATAACAAGATGTAATTCCAACACATAACAAAGTGTTATGCCAACAAATAACAAGATGTAATGCCAACAAATAATAATATGTAATTCCAACACATAACAAAATGTAATGCCAATAAATAACAAGATGTAATGCCAACAAATAATAATATGTAATTCCAACACCTAGCAAAGTGTACTGCCAACAAATAACAAGGTGTAATGATAACAAATAACAAGGTGTAATGTGAACAAAAAAACTAGTAATGGTGCCAACTTATCACAAAGTATGATGCAAATAAACAAAAATGTATGGTGTTAACAGACATCACGGTGTTATGCCACCAAATCACAAAGTATGATTCAAACAAATAAGGTGTAATGCCAACAAAGAACAAGATATGATGCCAAAAAAACAAGGTATGGCGCCAACATATAACAAAGTATGATGCCAATAAATAACAAGGTATGATGCTAACAAATAACAAGGTGTAAGGTGTAATACAGACAAATAAAGTATGATTCCAACAAATAAGGTGTAATGCCAACAAATTACCAGGTATGATTCAACAAATTACAAGGTATGAACCTAACACATAACAAAGTGTAATGCCAACAAATAACAAGGTATGATTCCAACAAATAAGGTGTAATGCCAACAAATAACAAGGTGTAATGCCAACAAATTACCAGGTATGATTCAACAAATAACAAGGTATGATGCCAAAATACCTAAATTATCATGGCGCAAACATACAACAAATATAAAGCCAATAATTAACAAATTATCCAAATTGATGTGATTTCAGGTGCTTCAAAAACCAATTGATTTACAACGGATTCTCAAATTATTAACTTTCATGACAGGACACCATTACCACACCAGTAATCATTGTAAACATGCCATTTTATGACGAAGCCCTTTCTCTGTACACCGTCCACCGCAACAAAAAACTTTCATGACACGATGCACTCAAATGGTAAACGCATTTTAAGAAATTTACTTATAACAATATGTCATTTATATACTTCATAAAGGGTGGGATGTACGTTTTCCAACTGTTTGATTATTATTCTGCGAGTGGAATGGTATTGTTGTTTGTATGCTTTATGGAGTCAATGGTTATCGGATGGATTTTAGGTGAGTAGTTTGCTTTTGTCGAGACACATACTGTTTTTGCATATTTGTGTAACACTAGACTTTTCAAAAGTTTGCTGCATCCCAAGTGATGCAACCCTTGGGCGTCTTGGCACATCTATTTTATCATATGGACATAAATATTAATCATTTTGGCGGCTATCACGTTTTTCTAGTTATATCAATACCATGCTTAAGCGTGGTGTCCGTTTGGATCTGTCGAATGTATAATACGCAGACACATCAGGTTATAAGGGAGACTGTCGTGGTTTCAGCGCGTTAAAGAAACCTTTCTACAACTCTTTTATGCGACCTGTTGCAGAGGTTCCTGTCCCTTTCAAACATACCCTCATTTTCTGATGATAGTCAAGTCCTTTTAATTCATCCCGGTCGCCAAACTTTGCAAAGCCTACCTATTGGATGTTTTTGTAAAGTTTTCGTTTTGAATATGAATGAAATATTTGTCATTTGAATTTAAATAAATAACAATAAATCAATTAATCTCATTTAAACAAGTTGTTCTCTTTCAGTTCGATGGTATATCTAATGTCAGTTAACATCGATATTTTCCTCATAAATCAGCATGCATTTTCATACCCATGGCCTGGGAACAGTAATTTTTTATGTATGTTCCTGCCATGGCATAGTAAACGTCTACTGCATTAAAGTACTCATCTGGAGCAGCAAAAAAAAAAAGTGATATCAATTTATTATTTTAAGTGATTTTATTTTAATTTTGCTCAGTCTTTAGTTTTCTATGTTGTGTTTTGTATACTGTTGTTTGTCTTTTGGTCTTTTTATTTTTTGTCATTGCGTTGTCAGTTTATTTTCGATTTATGAGTTTGAATGTCCCTTTGGTATCATTTGCCTCTCTTTTAGAGACTTCACCTTGAAGCACTTCTCGACATTAAATCGCTAACAATTCCAATGTTGTAGTCTATTTCTTCTGTGAAAGTCATGGTATCCAAAACGTGTATATATGCATATATTCCTCCACAAGCAAATCTTGTCTTGTAAGTGTTAAATATAGATTTTTTTCCCAAAAGTGCTTTTGAAATAAATAGTCCTATTTTACAGGTGCAGATAAGTTTTATGACATCATCGAATTGATGATTGGATACAGAATCAACAAGTGGCTTTTTATATGTTGGAAGTTCATAACGCCGGCAATAACTTTGGTAAGAGGAAAGGATTTGATTTCTATTTGAGAATATGTCTTACAAGACAAATTATTTCTGAAAAAAAACTAAAATGGGAACAGCTTTATTGGTACGTTCTTTCGGTATTTGAAGCGTGTATACTGCTGGACATTCAATCTCAATTGGATTACCTTTACCGAAGTTACCATTCCAATGATGTTCGAGGCCAAAATATTTGAAAGGCCAAAACCAAATACAAATGTTAAAAAGCTGGTAAAACCGAAAAGTACAAAAAATAAAACCTTACCCTGACAAGGAATCAGAGCTTTGCACAGAAGCGGATTATGGAGGGCTCTGTGTTTTATAACATCAAATTATAGAAAAAAAACAATAACCGTATTTTCATGCCAGTGCCGAACACTTTTATGTAATTTGCGTAATATTCATAATATTTTGTGTCAGCTGATTTTTAATGTCATGAATGGATTTTTACCTTTTAGGGTATCCTGTTGTTTCAAATCATCACATTCAAACCAATTAAGTACAACAAAACATATCTATATCCAGACTGGGCTCAAGCATTTGGGATTATGCTTGCAGTGGTATCTATAATATGCATACCAGCGTATAGTATCTTTAAACTATTGAAAGCAGAAGGTTCTTTAACTGAGGTACGTAGACATATCATTTTATATTGACCATTTCACTCATGCTTTATATGGTAATAATTGATTGGCGTAAGCCGTCTACACTAAACTCTTTCTTAATTGTATGTGTGATTTAGATAAGCATTACCGCTGATTAAATATATCATTCTTAAATTCTTGGTTCGTTAAGACACCAATAAGATAAACCTGATGTTATTCGTTCAAATTTTATTCAGATTTCATCTCATAATTTAAGTAAAAACACAGGGGTCACTATTTCAAGTAAAAAATATCAAGAGATACCATAGCACAACTAAAAACCATGTCGCCCGAATGATGACCAAAATGAAAAAAGCAGAAACACTATCATTAAAATGACATAGAAAACTAAAGATTAACAACACAAACACCATCAAGAACTGTAGTTAAAGTCAAATGCTGCATAGATGTCAGCAGTTCCTGTCCCACTAGTGACCCCGACTTGTTAATTTTGTTAAAAATCCGTTTCCGAAACATATCAAATGATTTGGTTCCACACTAAATTAAAACTTTCAAACCTCGCATTTACTCAAGTCTTATGAAAATTTAACTTTTACAGTTAACCCAATTGTGGACTTTCCATTTCTATGTAGCAACATTCAAGCAGCGCCTGCATAAGGAGTATACATCTCCCAGTTGATACGATATTCCAGGGCTTGTGTTTCCTATCATGATTTCCTTGATAGAGGGTTGTTGCTCACAAGGAAGCTATTAAACCAAGAGTTCCAAGTGGTGAAGCTGAAATCATCCCTTCGTAAATTTTACGGACGCCATCACGAGTTGGTTGACCGTTATGGAATATCTGTTTCACAAATGACGACGGATATGTTCCAGTTGTCGCAACTACAATCTCGTCCCCTTCACCTGAATGTGACCTACCGAATTAGACATATCACCGGGTTTGTACTTACATGAGCAACACGGCGGGTGTCACATGTGGAGCAGGATCTGCTTACCCTTCCGGAGCACCTGAGATCGCCCCCAGTTTTTGTTGGGGTTTGTGTTGCTCAGTCTTTGGTTTCTATATTGTTTTGTGTACTGTTGTTTGTCTGTTTATCTTTTTCTTTTTTAGCCATGGCGTTGTCAGTTTATTTTCGACTTGTGAGTTTGAATGTCCCTTTGTTATCCTTCGCCTCTCTTTCCCTTAGAGAGGAGGAACTGATACATTTTGGGGAAAATGAAAAATGTTTTGTACAACATCATACCAATCATTTATAACTAAATATATTATAAGACTAGGGGCCTCGGTGTCCGAAAGGTCTAAGTAGTTGAACTACTGCATCACTAGCCTGTCAACACTGAGGTTGTGAGTTGGAATCCCGCACGTTTCAGGTGCGCTCGACACCAATCTTTATTGTCTAGGATTGTCAGTTTTCCTACAGAAGGTAGGTGGTTCTCTTCGGGCTTTCCGGCTTCCTCAACCAATAAAAACTGACCGCCACGAAATAGCACAATAGTGCTTTAAACACCAATCAGTCAATTATAAGACTAATTTTCATATGAACACGATTGTACCCTTATGTTCGCAGTTATCTATCTATTGTTATACTAATATTATTTCAATGCAAATGGTTTTTAATTTCAGCGATTCTTTTCCACGAAAACACCAATACTTAAATCATGTCGAATACCACAGAAATGGAAAGCTGGCAAAAGCCAATTCTGGGCTTGTGAAGATACTTTGGACGAAAATTCAATTTCATTATCTGACAAATTTATCGATGCTTAATCAAAAACCTGCACCATGAATTAATATGTTAAATAGAAAGTACTAAAATTTGATGTCTTGATACGTATACGTACAAAAATATTACCAGATTGTATCATGCTTATAGCTTGATATCATTTTCAAATACTTATAGAAACTTCAAGTAGTAACAATTTGTCTTGTACTAAGAATTTACAGTGTTCAAGCTTCTAAACGTAAAAATATCACCTACATGAAATGCTCTATATGTTTGCCAGACGAGTTGGATACATATATTAAGTTGAATTGCGTTGTCGTACGTGCATAACATACATATCTGGGATTTGGTCCCGAGTATATTTATGATTATTTCTCTTATTCTCGTAATGTACAGTATAAGTACTTTCTTTGTTGAAATATTTTTTTTTAAATAAGTATTGAATAATCATGATAATCACTTATAATGGAATATTTAAAGATTGTGACAACTGTCACAAACATAAACTTTTAGCTACCTCTTTATAAGCAGAACCGAATAACATGAAAGTTCCAACTATGTACTGGCTTCCAAAGCTGCACAGAACACCTTACAAATATAGATTTATTTCGTCTTCAAGCCATTGTTCCATTACTAGACTATCTATTCTACTAACTAGTACACTTTTACAACCAAAACCCTGGTAATAAATTGTTCAAATAAGGCCTTTGAAAATAGTGAAATTAATTCTTTTGGAGTGTCAAAAATTCGTTGGAAGTTTTTGATAAATTGCATACTCATATTGGTGACTTCGAATCTGTTCAAAGTTTTGATTTTCCTACCCTATATACCACTTTCCCTCATAATCTCATTAAAAAAATTCAAATACCTAATTAAATGGGCATTTAAAAAGTCAGAATGCGAATGTTCAAACTCTTTTATGTAATTTTTTAGTAACAAAAACACAAGAACTATGTCAGTTGGACCTGATTTGATACGATAAATGCACTTGAATTATTACTAGATAAATAAAGGCAACAGTAGTATACCGCTATCCAAAAGTGATAATTCGATTAAGAGAAAACAAATCCAGGTTACAAACTAAAACCGAGAGAAAAACATCAACTATAAGAGGAAAACAACGGAACTACATTTTTGTTCGCTATGTAGATTCCGTATATCGTAAAGTTATCGGAATTCCAATGGGGACTAACTGTGCACCACTTATTGCGGACCTGTTTCTGTATTTTTACGAGTTACAATTTATGACTAAAATCAGGAAAGGCCCATCGAAACATCATCTAAAAAAAAACTTAATGACACTTTTAGATATTTGGATGATATATTGGCTCTAAATAATGACGACCTCAGTGTCTACACTAAAAAGGTTTATCCTGCTGGACTGACTTTAAATAAAGCTAATACTTACAATAAACACTGTCCTTTCCTGTATCTAGAAATCTTTATCTTTAACGCGAATCTTGATACTAAAATTTACGATAAAAGAGATGATTTTTCATTTCCTATTGTTAATTATCCATTTTTAGATGGTGACGTTCCCTTGTCACCATCTTATGGTGTTTATATATCCCAACTTATTCGATTCTCTCGTGTATGTAACAACGTATTTGATTTTAACGAAATCTCTGTATTACTGAAAGATTATTACCCCAGGGTTTTCGATATCACAAACTTGTCAAAACTTTTACTAAATTATACAAGGCCGTTATTCGTAAATATAAATCAACGTGCAGACATCTTATACGTTCAGGTATTTCACATCCCATCGTATGTGGTAATATTATATACAAAGCACAAAAATGTCGTCATTCACCTCAAACGCTAACCAAACCTTTAAACAGATATCCGATATTGTTGTCAGGTCATTAAAGATGGTATTTTTTTTTGAATTAATATCGATTCATTCATAAGGTCTTTGCATCGAAAATAAACACATTTATTCTAAAACCAGTTGTTCGCATAATACGTGTTATGTTCTTCTCGTATATTTTATGATGATATGATACTTAACCCCTAACGGGAGGGATTGTGCTTCATTTTCATATGATGAAGACATAATCTTTCAATCAGTTTAATTGAGGTCTGGGTTTGGCATGACAGTAACTGCTAGTAGTCCTTTGTTTATTTATGTTGATCATTGTCATTTTGCTTAATTTCTTCTGTTACCTATTCTAACATCGGGGAGGGTTGAGATCTCACAAAACATGTTCAACCCCGCCGCATTTTTGCTGCGCCTGTCCCAAGTCGGGAACATCTTATCTTTGTTAGTATTGTATGTTTTTTTTTTTTAATTTTGGCTCATAAATATGCTTCGGAGTTAAGTGAGACGTCCATGTTCGATTAACTAGTATACATTATTGTTCAGGGGCCAGCTGAAGCCCGCCTACGGGGGCGGGATTTTTTCGATGTGTTAAAGACCCATTTGTGGTCTTGGTCTGTTTTCTGCTGTTTGATCGGATTGTTGTCTCTTTGACACATTCCCCGTTTCCATTCTTAATTTTATAGAAGGCTAGCGTTATTCCTAATTTAGTATACTAGTATATATATATATATATTTATACAACTCAATATAATTTAGTATACTAGTATATATATATTTATATATACAACTCGTCTAAACATCAGCCCAATAATGTTAGATCTGTAAATTTGCTTTCGCAAATTTGTTGTTCTTCCCTCGCCGGGATTCGAACTCATGCTACTGAGCTATCGTGACCTTTGGAAAGGATTTTCGATTAAAAAAAGTTATTCTACGGTTTAATTATTTATTTATTTTAGTAATTAGCAAATCTTATAAGATTTTTATATAAAAGAATCGATAAAAATGTTGGTAATAAACTGTTCTCAAAGTCTACCGTTTTACTGCCACTGGTAAAAGAGGCTATCTTAGTTAGTGGAAGGACATTCAACTTGCTGACTGAAATCAACCCTATCTTTGTTTGTAGTTATTTCTGGCTGAGGTAAAAATATTGAACAATACGCCCTCCACTAAACAAACAGACATGTGGTATTGACTTGAAATGGAATGTATTGTAATCTCCTTGTTGCGATCAGCATATAATGTTTAAACTGTCAATCTAACTTCTTTAATGGTACTACATATTAGAAGAAAAGAGCTTTATCTGTTTATGGTTTTTGAAGACAGTTCGGCCAGCTAAAAGGCTCCACAATGTTTTCCGAGACTAGTTGGCGTCCACTGTGACTTGTATCCCTCTATCGGCGAACAAATCCTGCCTTGTGTCGTGTGTCATTTCTATCCTTGGATACGGATACGGATGGTTGAGTGTTACAAATTCTGTCACTTCCTATAAACCAACAGACAAATGAGATTGGCTTGATTGACGTCTATATTTCGGAAGTGCATGATACCCATATAAAAGACCGGTAAAGAAATACTGTCGTTAACATTTCTCATTTCCAATAACTTAGAGATGTCAACTGGAATGAATTGAGACATATTAACTTTCAAGTTGAAGAGCGAGATGTCAAGTTGGAAGTGAGAAATGTCAATATGGAACCTAAAACTACAATAACTGTGTTATAGAAGTCTCAGTTGGAACTGAGAAAATTCAACTTGAAAGTGAAAAACGTCAACTTGAGACTGAAAAAAGTCAAGCTGGAAGTGACAAATATCAAAATTGAAATGAGAAAATTTTAAAAGTAGAGTTCCCTTCCAGTCTTGCGTACACTTGTGACGATTAGATAATGTATGCGTCCTGAATTACAATTGATGATAATGAATATTCATTAACAGCAAAATGATGAAGATTTTTTCCAACATTCGAATATTCATAGATATGTTGTTTGATGAACCTGATTGTTCTCAACTCAAAAGTAGATTAACATGCCGCGGCAGTTACAGTAGTCACATCAAAATCATTATTTTCGTGCACATCTGGGACCAATAATCCACCAAATCCTACTATTAAATTTGTAATTAATTCTAAGTTTATTGTTTTGCGCAGTCAATTTTGAAGATGAAGTTGGAGATGTCAAGTTGGAAGTGACGGAAACTCCATCTTGGAACATGAGACTGCTATCACTGTTTTAGAAGTCTCACTTGGACCTGAAAAAAGTTCAACTTCAAAGTGAGAAAAATCAATTTGAAGCTGAGGAATCAAACTTTAAAAAATATATAAACAAAAATATGGAACTCCCTGCTATATTCAAAATGACGGGAAGTCTATAAAAACTGTAAAATCAAACGTTAGACTATATCAACCAACGGAAAGAATAGAAAACAAATGTCATATTCCTACAGGCATTTTCCGAAGAAAATGGTGGATTGATCCTGGTGTTACAGCTAGCTAAACCTCCCACTTGTTTGACAGATAGTTCCGTTATATTGACAAAATTGTCAAAAAAAAAACACAACCCAAACAGACATATTTGGTCAATGTGACAATAATTGGGATTCACCAGCCAAAACTTGTAAACATACATCACAGACATGCATACAACATTATGCAAATAGATCTGACAAAAACGCAAACAAAATGGGTTGCTGAGTAGTTAAAAGTAAACCTGACATAAACGCCAAAAAAAAAACGTTTTCCAGTTGATCATGTTGATAGTATATAAACATAATGCCGTACTAGAAAGACGAAAGATACAAAAGGGGCATCCAAACTCACAAGTCGAAAACAAACTGACAACGCTATGGCAAAAAAAGAAAAATACCAAAAGACAAACAACAGTACACGTAGCACAACATATAAAACTAAAGAGTGAGCAATACGAACTCCACAAAAAACAGGGGTGATCTCAGGTGCTCCGGAAGGGTAAGCAGATTCTGCTCCACATATGGCACCCGTCGTGTTGCTAAAGTAAGTACAAATAATAATAAGTCTAATTAGGTAGGTCACATTTGGGGAAAAGGTAACGGGATTGTGGTTACGACAATTGGAACATATCCGTCGTCATCTGTAAAACAGATATTCCATAACGCTCAACCATCTCGTGATGGCGTCTGTAAAAAATTACGAAGGGATGATTTCAACTTCACCACTTGACACTCTTGGTTTAATAGCTTCCTTGTGTTCAGCAAGCCTCTGTCAAGAAAATCATGATAGGAAATACAAGCCCTTGAATATCGAATCGACTAGGAGATATACCGGTATACTCCATATGCAGTATACACTTTCCCGATAAAGTACAAATTAAGTAAAATATAAATACAAGGGTAAACAAAATGAAAACATCATCTTTTAAAACATCTTGCGACCGAATCGAACCTGTGGACCCAGAAGCACAAGGAACGCTTTAAGCCATAAATCTGATAGCTGTATGCTCAAATACCGAGTCACGTCAAAATTCATACGACCAAAAGGAACATAAAAGCACAAAGACAAATAAAGGGAAAACTGTAAAGTAAGTAAAAAGATACACAACTTCAGCACTTGAATCTTAAAGTCAATATCATTTGTATTATTTGAGAAGCAACCCCTGAACATTTATCTATTAGATCTTGGTACTTTCCGATGAAATGTTTTAGAAAAAGGACGAAAAGTTCTTTGACAAAAGCCTGGCTCAATATTTTTTTGTTCAGACAACAAGATTGTCCTTATGTTAACTGTTACACCACTGTCCTAGATTAGGGGGAGGGTTTGGCGCCCACAAACAGGTTTAACCTCGCCACATGCTGTATGTGCCTGTTCCAAGTCAGGAGCCTGTAATTCAGTGGTCGTCGTTTGTTGCTGTGTATCATATTTGTTTCTCGTTCATTGTTTTGTACATAAATCAGGCCGTTAGTTTTCAAGTTTGAACTGTGTTACATTTGTCATATCGTGGCCTTTAAAAACTGACTATGCGGTATGAGTTTTGCTCATTGTTGAAGACCGTAAGGTGACCTATAGTTGTTAAATTCTATGTCATTTGGTCTCTAGTGGACATGCAGAGTTGTCTCATTGGCAATCATACCACATCTTCCTACTTTCATATTAGGTCGAACATTTACGTAGTTTTCAACTTGTGGATTCGAAGTTGTATCAAAAGACTTACTTGCTTTAACCAATTCTGACAGATTGTCTAGTTTAACATTTTCTCGTTTTGCCCATACTCTAGCGTAATCCTCAACGGAATCAATTACTAATTCTTTATTTTCTCACTGCGTTGAAGACTCATTGGTGGCCTTGGGCTGTTTTCTGCTATTTGGTCAGGGGATTGTTACGCATGTGTGAACAAAGATGGTTGGTTTTTCATTCTGAGCAATAAAGCCGGGGAAATAAGGCATTTTCTGGTGTTATTGGAAATTATCAATAAAAATTTATATGAACACTTTAGATCAACTAATATATGAATTCGAAAAAGAAAGGAAAAGGAGGAATTCAAATGTGCAAAATTCAAGTAGTGAGAAACCCGGTAAACAGAACTGTGCTCACAATGTTGTCAAAGGTAAAAATGTAAACAAAGACAATTGTACTGAGAAAGACTTGATTATGAACAATAATAATGCAAAGAACTCTTTCACACCAAATTCCACACCAAATTTTAGCTCCCCAGTACTGCAAGGAAGTGGAAATCTTCAACAATATCAAAATATCCAAAATCCAAGCTCTCCGATGTCTGGTTTCTATAGCATTCCTTACACCCCACAAGGCTCGATTCCACAACCAGTTTGTAACTCTACAATGAACCAACCAATAGATAGTATGAAAATTGACAACCTGATGAATAAAGTCGACGAAATGTGCAAAAAACTAAACGTAAAGCGCTTGACTACAGATTTGAACGATCTCCGCGAACGGCATCTAGATCTCCAAACACGTTCTATGAGAGAAAATTTTATTTTCTCAGGAATTCATGAATCTAGCAAAAACGAAGAGAGCGAAGAGACGGGAGAAATCTTAAAACAATTTATGACAAAAGAACTTAAATTATCAAACCGATTGAATTCGTCCGTGCGAACAGATTCGGTAGGGCAGACAAAAAACCTAGGCCAACAGTTTGCAGATTCCAAACGTTTAATGATAGAGAACTAGTCCGGAAAAATGCAAACGCTCTAAAAGGGACTAACTATGGGATAAGTGAACAATTCCCGAAAGAGGTTAATGATCGTCGTAAGGTACTATGACCATACTTTAAAGAGGCAAAGGAACGTCACAAGAAGGCACACCTTAAACGCGATAGACTTTACATAGATCGCAAAGAATTTATTCATGGCGGCAGAAATAACCACGACATGGAGACAGATAACAACCCAACATACACAAGATACGAGGGAGAAGGAGCCCGACCGAAGCATTTTTCCAGTAGAGGACCCCAAAGGAAGAACAATGGTAACAGCGAATAGGTGAACCGTGGAGGATCAACAGACACTTATAGTAAATTTACCTACTCAAACGAAACTGACGACCTTGATAATGACCATTTAAATTTGAGCACAGGCTATAACAATACTCTACGCATATTGTCTTTAAATGTATGTGGTGTGAAAACAAAATTATTATATCCAGAATTTCAAACTTTACTCAACACTTTTGATATTGTTTGTCTAACTGAAACAAAACTTGATGACCTTGATGATTTAATGTTAGATAATTTTGTTTTTAAATACAAGAATAGAAAGAAATTTATAAATAAATCAGGTAGCATAGCTTTAGGCTATAAAGGTTACTTAGAAGACTTTATAAAACCTATTGATACTGAATGTAAATTTGTATTTTGGTTCAGTATAGACAAAGGCATTTTGAAGACTTCTGAAAATGCAATTTTTTTGGTATTATTTATGTGCCACCCGAGAGTAGTAACTGCTCATCAGATGATGCTTTTTCTGAAATTGAATCAGAATTTCAAAGAATAAATATAATTTCTGAAAATATTTGTTTACTTGGAGATATGAATGCACGTACTTGAATTTTGCCCGATTTTGTTGATTCAAATACAATTGACGAATTTTGTACAAAATGTTTTAGATATCAGTGAGTTTACTGATATGAATGCACGTACTTGAATTTTGCCCGATTATGTTGATTCAAATACAATTGACGAATTTTGTACAAAATGTTTTAGATATCAGTGAGTTTACTGACATTAAAATTTTAGATGACATGGGTTTGTCAAGAATGAGAAAAAGCCCAGATACTGTCATAAACGGTTTTGGCCCGAATTTATTAAGTTTTTGCAAGGATAATAACTTGTTTATTTTTAATGACAGAGTTGGGAAGGATAAAATTGGAATGTCAACAAGTAAAAATACCAGTGTAATTGATTGTGTTATTAGTACTTCTTTATTGTTACAACTTGTACATGATTTTGAAATATTTGAATTTAATAAACTTTTTTCATATGTGCATTCACCACTTGCACTTACATTACGTCTGAATGACAATTTTTCAGAAAAAAAGAGTAAAAATAAAACCTCGTTTCCAAGAATTAAACCATTGAAACAAGAAAAAATTCGTAATGGTTCCGCGGAACCCAGTGTCTCGCCTACTTTTGCTGTTAATTGCAGGCTCAACAAAATGAGAATAAAAATAATGAAAATATTCCTCTCTATACTATCTTTTGATTGTAAGTAGCTTCTGTCCAAGTTTGGTAAAAATCCAGGATAGTTTATGAATCTAATAAATGTTTTAAAAACTTAAACTGCAGACTGTATGTAATGTTAACTGGAAGAAAAACTAAGTCCATTTATAAGTAAAATACGGAAAAAATGGAACAAAATTTTAACAAAATTTCCTTCTAGATACTAGCTTTTAACTTAAACAATCTTCTGTCCAAGTTTGGTACAAATCCAAGATAGTTTAAGAAAGTTGTTAAAATTCTGGCAGAAAAACTAAGTCTATTTATAAGTAAAATACGGAAAAAATGGATTTTTTTTTTACAAAATTTACTTTTGAATATTATCTTAAGATCATAAACAAGCTTCTGTCCAAGTTTGATAGAAATCTAGGATAGTTTAAGAAAGTTAGTAAAATTTCAAAAACTTTAACCACAGAGTGAATATTTGTGGACGCCGCCGACGACGACAACAACGACGACAACGACGACGCCGACGACGGAATGTAGGATCGCTATGTCTCGTTTTTCGACAAATGTCGAAGGCTCGACAAAAAAGGGAATTATTCAAAAGTAATATAGATCAAGAAAGACTTGATTTTCTGCATTTTATTCTGCTCGACGCAATCAGTGATACTGAAACAGTGGTTAAACATGATATTGATACTTTTATACAAGAGGTCACTTCTATACTTTTGCAATCTGCAGAACAAACTCTAGAAACATCTGTTGGAAAACAGAGTTCGGTAAATGATACATGTAATGGTCAAGAAAAAGATTTGAATAAAATAAATTTGATAGTCAAAATGACTTTGATATACAAAATGATGTAAATGGTGTACAGAATGATTTGTTGAATTGTAATATAACCATTGAAGAAATAAAAAAAAGCAATACAAGCTTCAAAAAACAACAAATCACCAGGTGAAGATAATGTTATAAATGAATATATATCATCGTCTTTTGAGAAAATGAGTGACATATATTTAGAACATATTCACCCCTTCTCGTCCAATGAAAAGTCAGTTTTTCTCTTCTTATTTTCATAGTACATGGCTTTCCAGTAGATTCAGACTTTGACAGAAAATGAAGAAATATATAATATAAAATATGAAAACAACTCATTATCAATATCATGCGTACGTTAACGATATATCACCATATTAAGTCTATCCTGTTACCGATTACATACTAAATTGCAAAGATTAAGACGTTGTCACCTTTAAATGAGTTCAAACAACCAAACATTTCGTTATGTGTAAAATAATATGTAATTACATACTTTGTATAAGACTTTTTAGTCAAATATTGTCTATGCTGTTACTGCAACCATAGTAACAGGATAAACAAATCTCTTCATTTATGACAGATGTTGTGAAATAACTACTTCTTTTGATGCAGTGATAATGTTTTTCTGATGTGAGTTTGGTTTCCAACACGTAATTGCACTTTTCACAAGTCTAATATTGTTGTAATTATTAAATTTATTGGTAACAGCATAGACATGATAAAAGGATACCCACTATTTTTTTTTTCACTAAATGTCTTGAATTTTCTTTTCTCTACACAGTTATGCAAGAAACGCGCTGTGTCAAATTTTTAGGATGCTTTTGTGCTTTTAAAATTATCACTGAATAGTTCCATATTCATAGGGAGACACAATTTAACGGTTGATCTTGTAGCGGTAACATCATAGACATGCATTTCATGTACGGCTTTGGTACATATATATAACAAACAACAAATGAAATGGGGGCAAAGATGTAGGTAAAATAATCTTTTATTCAATTTTGAAAACCAGACATTCGAGTCAATTATTATTTTTTTTCTTTCAAGAAAACAGTGCCAGACTGCTGATATATAAAGCAAAGGATTTTTTTTCAAAAAAAAAAAAACCACAATACATGTACATTCATCAATAAAAAGTAAACATATGATGTTGAATGGTTGTAATTCAAATATTCATAGAGTGAGTTTTATAATTATCAAACAATATACAAATTTCAAAGAGCTGATTTATATAACATTGTGTGCTTTTTAAAATCAAGAAATTTAAGGTATTTAAGTATTAAATTTTTACCTGAAGCAGAAGAAAAACTCAATGTTTGAACAATTTATCCTTTTTGTCCTCACAAAACTTCATTCCATCCATTGAAATGATCATTACCTATGTTATACATTCCTTTTGTTAACCTAGTTAGCACTTCATTATAAAAAGTGAATTCTTTTCAAGGTTTGAATATAACAATGGGAAAGGATAATTTTGTAGGGTCACTCGAAAGTATGTTTAAATCTTCATAAAACATGACCAAGTTTTGTCTAACCTTTACTTACTTTTATTTAACTTAATTTTTGAAACAGGTATTGTGCGTGAGGCATGGCTTACAGGTATAATAATACCAATTTTTAAGAACAAAGGCGACCAGCGAGATCCAAAAAGTTACAAGCCTATTACTTTGTTGTCTTGCCTTGAAAAAATATTTACCTCGGTATTGAACTCAAGATTAAATAATTATCTTGATGAATACTTGTTATTACACCAAAATCAAGCTGGTTTTAGAAGTTGTTATTCTACAAATGATCACACTTTTGCTTTGTATGCTTTATTTGAGCTATTGCATTTTAAAAAGAAAAAACTCCATTGTGCATTTGTGGACTTTGAGAAGGCGTTTGACTTTGTTCATAGAAATTCGTTATTTTTTAAACTTTTACAAAATAATGTAAATGGTAGATTTTTACGTATTATACAAAATATGTATGAAGGGGTTAAATCATATATTAGACATAATGATGTTCAGGGTTTTTTAAGTGTGAACTAGGAGTTAGACAAGGAGAAAATCTATCTCCTGTCCTTTTTTCATTGTATCTTAATGATCTTCAATCATATTTAGAAGAAAATAATTTTAAGGGGTAGAATCTATCAGTTGCGACATAGAAAATGAGTTAATGATTTATCTTAAAATTCTATTGTTTTTGTATGCAGACGATACAATTCTGTTATCAGAATCAAGCAAGGATTTACAGTTTATGTTAGATACGTTTGCCAATTATTGTGAAAATTGGAAACTGAAAGTTAATATTAAAAAAAAACAAACATTCTTATATTTTCTAGAGGAAGAATTTCA